TGGACTGATTTCCTTGTTGGACTGGTCTCCTGGTCGGATGGTACTTGACCAGTACTTGGATGGGCTTATGATATGCATACAGCCATTGTTTGCAGGCCCATCTCATATCCCATTATGTCCCACGGATCCACTGATCATATGGCCTAGCCATTTCGTGGACATCCTATATAGAGTCATAGACCAAAACATATATGAACCATCCTTAGGTTCTCATGGACACTCCTAGTCCATTTGGTCATACACCAATTGTATGTGCTAATAGTCTTGTCCATTATGGTCGATATTCTTTCCTTATCTTTTAGTATGTCCATGTTATGTAATAGACCTTAACTATCACGTCCATAACCTTATGAGTTACCTTACCAAGTTGCTGCAATGAATATTATGATCACATCCAACCATGGATCTGCAGCAAATGCTTATGGACCTTTAAACATGACTTATCGACCTTCCTTTGCCTTTAGCAATACCATATCCATTTGGACTTAACCATGCCTACTTTTGGTCACTCTTTTGGACTCTTATAGTTTTCTTTAATCCATTAGTACTAGCCTAATGGTCGTGCCTTCATTCAAGTCCCACACTACAACCTTTGTACTTAAACATCACATACCATACTTCCTTTGATGGTGTCTCATGACCTCCTTGTATCAAGCAACGTACCAAAGTACATTATGGTCATGGACCTTACCCACACATGTCAACAACTCGCCAATGAGTGCCTAATGTTGCCATAACAACATGGTTTATGTGTGGTGATGTATAGTTTATACTACATTGGTTCCTTAAGACCTTTAAACTATGCACCTTGATAGTCTAGTACCTCTAGGTCATAAGCACGTTTTGAACCAACATATTGGTCATCACACCATGGATGATTTGGACTTAGAATGTAACCGGACCTTAGCCTTGGTCGGTATGAACTTTGGTATGGACCAGATGGCTTCCTTAGCCTTTCCATACGTCCACTTCTTATGAAGTGTGGTAGTGCTGATCTCAACACATATGCCAATGACATAGTCACTGAACCATCCATCCTTTCTATGGATTAGTTTACTATACACCTTTTGTATAATACACTTGGACTGATTGTACTAAGTATTTCTTAGTATTCCACATTACTTGCAGCTGCATAATTTCAGTCCATGAACAGCCTAGGAACAATGCTGTTCTTGAGAATTTCCTTTCTCATTTTCATGGTTTTTCTTTAACCATTAATCCAGTGAACCATATGCTACTTACTACCTCATTACATGTCAACTTATGACCAGACATTTTGTCAATTCCGGATTTGACTAGTAGCACCCACCATTTAGNTACTGGTTGATGGTGTTCCACATGGCCAATACAACCATCATACTTTTATATACTCTGAACCCCATGATTCTTTATCTTTATGATTAAGATCTATGAGTACTCTTTCATGGGTTCATGATCCTCATTCCATTTCCATAAATCTCAAGTGCTATTTGCTTATATAAGTCTTCTTATACCACTGGTGTTAACACTCTTATATATATATATATGGTTCCATTTTACTCAGACATGATCTAATCCATTTTAGATCTTATTTATCCAGTACCTTTCCTGCCTTGTAATCTTGGCGTCCCAAGCTTACATGGTCCGGTACCCTAGATGTTCACCTGGCCAGGTTTTTCCTCTATGTCTGGTTTAGTTTCCTTTGAACTCGGATTCCATAATGAAATGCACCTTTCATTTCCTTTCCGAGATTTCTTTCATTTGGAACTTATTGGTCTACCTTTATAGACTTTAGCAACTTGATTATGTCTCTACTAGGACATTAAATTCGTGGTGCATAAGCTGGTATGACATAGTCATTCATTTCTGGGTCTTTGTGTCTTCCATTTAGTTTTGCTAGCAATGTATCATTCCTTGATAACTTGTGGACGTCCAGAATCTGTTCTAGTCCGAGGATCTTTCCAAGACACTAATGGTTAATACCATTGTTTTATCCAGCTTATATCTTTCTCATTTCCATGTTGGATAGTTGGATTTACTTCCTTATGTAATCCATGTACTTGGCCACGTTTTAATCACCCATATTTGGCTCAAGTTTTATTAAGAGAAAGACTTTGTAAATATCCAACATATATTCCC